ACACACACACACACACACACACACACACACAGAGAAGCCTGGTAGTTTGCTCTAATGAAATAGGAAAGATACCTTGAGAATGTCTCATGAATTAATAAGACCCCCACACTACAGATTCAAGAGTATGAAGTATAAGCCTTTCACTTAAGAGGAGAGCCTGATCAAATGAACTTAGCAAGTGATTTCTGTAGGACTCACTCCTCTTATGGTCAGCCATCAATGAGGCCACTCAATTCAGCAGTGGTCCAGGAGGGTCTGGTTATTGCTTTAGTGGCAGACTTTAGTGTCACTCATGTGATGCTGATTTGTCATGCATACAGAATGCAGGAGTTATGGAGGCTATGACTGAGATTTCATAGTAAAGCATGGGGGACCTGGTAGTACATGGCAAAAATGCAGTCTTTACGAGCAGCCCCTGAGAAGCTGATGTATGAAGCTCTGAGAGTGAAGCTGAAGCTGCAGTAGAAATTCTAGGAAGCTGATGCTGGGAATAGGAACGTTGCAGGCAGCAATGTGGGACAGTCAGAGAGAGACTATGTGGTCTGAACCAGCAAAGCTGTAGGGGCAGGTAAGCCCAAACCCTTTGGAGCCCACATAAAGCCACTGTGTTCCTCATATAATGGACATGAGAGTGAGAGGAGTTAAAATCTGCTGAGACTGTCTTATTTTGGTCTAATTCCTCCTTGCTATTTTCTTATTCCTCCATTTTGGAATGGATTATGTTGATTCTATCCTATCTTGGAAGTATGCACCTTGGGTTTTTTGTTTTTTCATTTTCTCTCTCTTTCTTTTCTGGGGGTCAGATCTTGTTATGTAGTTCAGGAGCTGGTCTTGAATACACTGTGATCCTCCTGCCTCAGCCTCCTGAGTGCTGGGATTACAGGAATGTGTCACAATGCCTGGCTTTGTTTTTTGACTTTTTTTGAGGGCTTACAGCTAAAGGTCTGCTGTGAGTCTCAGACTTTGGACTTAGACTTCTCGGAAATGCTAGAAGTTAAACTTTGAGGACTTTTGGGAATGGAATGAATGCCATTTGCATACCAAGATGGACATAACCCTCTGGAGGCATGTTAGGGTTTGCATCTTAAGTATCCTCCCAACAGGCCATGTGAAAGTTTTGTTTTCCAGCATGCAGAGCTACTTGGAGATGGTGGTTAGGAGGTGAGGCCTAACAGAAGGAAGTTAGATCACTGGGCTTATGTCCTTGAAGAAATATGAGACCCTGGCTACATCCTCTTTCTGCTTATTGGAGGTCTCCGCCATCATGTGATTTTTTTTTTTTTTTTTTTTTTTTTTTTTTTGTATTTTAGGGAAGGATCTATAGGGTGTTCAAGGTCTTACTACTAGATCGGACTTGTAGTGATCCGCCTCTTTACAGCCTCCCAAGAGCTGGGATTATAGGCGCATGCCACCATGCCCAGTCTCAACTGCAGTCTCAGTGCAACCTGGGGGCAGGGTCAGCATGGCAGGCCTGGGGATCAAACACCTAGCCCCTGCGCCTGCTTGCAGGTGCTTTAATCTGCTGAGCTATTTGGCTGGTCCTACCACCATGTGATTCTGATAGGATATACTGTGCCACTACAGGCCCAAAGCAATTGTAGCTAAACAACAGTAAACTGAAACTTCTGAGACTATACTTCAAAATAAATCTTTCTTCTTTTTAAATTGATTTATCTCTGGTATTTTTTTACAGTGATAGAAAACTAACTAATAAAGGTCAGCAAGATAGCTCAGCAGATAAGTGTCTGCCCCATCTCCAGGCATGCTGAGCCAGCCACCAAGACCGGGTGTGGTGGTACATGCATATAATCCCACTGCCGGGGAGGATAAAAACAGGAGGATCACTAAGAGTCTGAGCTGCATAGTGAGACTCCGTACCAAATACATAAAAAAAGAAAGTTGATTAATGCAGTGGGACTGCTAAGGACAAAAAGAAGAAAGTTCTCGTTCTTTCTTCTTTTTTAGCAGGTTTGCCCTGACACTGCAGGGTTCTTTTTAACTCTTGGAATAGCACAACTAGCTCCTATTAAGGATAGGCACCTGGCCAAGGACAGGGAGAATTAAGACATGGCTCAGAGGTGCATTTACCTGGCCAGTTTGCCTTCTCGGTAAGTCCTGCCCCACGGGTGTCGGTGTTTCTGAAGAGGCCAAACATCTGGAAGCCAAAGTGTGACAGATCCTTCCATCGTGTCTCCGTCGGCACATGCTGGCTCTGTTTCTCGGCAGTAATAGCACTTCCCATAGAAACAAGTATTGTTTCCTAAAGGACAAAAAGGAACCAAATACACTTAAGGAAAACAACAAAGGCTCCAGATTCTCCTCCAAGCAATGTAGAAGGGATGAACTGAATAAACAGGCACTGAGGGAACAAAGGTCCTGAACTTACTATATTTTACATTTATTTTCCTTTCTTGTATAGGTAGAAAAAAAGCACATGGTGTTAAAAAAAAATCCTCAAGGTACAAAAAAGGATATATACCAAAAAGTGAACCTCATTGCCCACATCCCTTCTATCTAGTTTCTCCCCAAAGAGTCAGCTATCATTAAAATATCTTTTTCAGCTCATTTTGGTTACAGCAAAAGTAGTGTCCTCTTTGGTGGTGCTGAAGTTCTGGACAGTATGCCCAGGGGAAAGACAGCAGGCTCATGCTCAATTTGCTCACAGATGGGGGGAGGGTGTTGAACAAGTAAACAGATTCAGGATAATGGGAACCAGGTTTCTAACAGATGGAGAAGGAAGTTAAGTATACAGAAAAGGGGATGGAAAGAATAAGTCCTGTCATGAATTAGACTTAAAGAAATTGCTTTTAGGGGCCAGGGAGATGGCTCAGTGGAATAAGTGCTTCTCTGGCAGCGCAAGGGCCTGAGTTCAATCCCTAGTTCCGGGAAAAAAAAAAAAAAAAAAGAAAACTATAGTACTCTATAGTACTAAAAGGAAATAGGGCAGAATTCTTCCAGTATTTTAAAGTGACCAAGACTATGACCCCTGATTAGAAAATTGAAGCCAGGTATAGTGGCTTCTAGCGGTGGGATTCTAGCTAGTTAGGAAGCTAAAGCAGGACTATCTCAATATCAAGGCCAGCCTGAGCAGGCCTTTGAGGTGAGACTCTACCTCAAACTTAAAAAAAAAAAATTCTATATCTGTATATAAAGATGTAGCTTAGGGCTGGTGAGATGGCTCAGTGGTCTAAAGCACCTACTTAGAACAAGCTAAGCTGAGCAAAGCAGAGGGACCGCGGTTCAATCCTCCAGCACCACATGCCAGCCAGCCCCGCCCCCTGGTGGGCTGAGCTGGCCACACACACACACA